TTTCAAAGTTCATCCACACTGAAGCATATGTCAACATTTCATTCCTCCTTAAGGATAATATTGTCTGCTGAATGGATATACCACATGGATATATCACATTTTATTTATCCGTTCATCTACAGATGCACACATGTGTTTCTATTTTGGGGATGTTTGAATAATGCTGCATTAACTTTCTTGGTCAAGTTTTTGTAAGGACTCAACGTTTTCATTTTTCTTGGATATACTTATTATGGACTACATGTTTGTGCCCCCACCCCCACAATATTGGTATGTTGAAGCCCTAACCCTCAATGTGATGATATTTGGAAATAGAAACTTTAGGAGGTAAGTAACTTTAGATGAGGTCACGAGGTTAAGAACCCCATGGTGGGATGAGTGTCCTTTATAAGAAGAGAGACGAAAGCTTGTGTGTGCTCTCTGCTATGAGAGCAACTACAAGAAGGTGCTATCTCAGAGCTAGGAAAAGGACCTCTCACCAAACTGAATCTGCCAGCACCTTGATTTTAGAAGTCCCAGTCTCCAGCACTGTCAGAACTAAGTATCTGTGTTTAAGCCACTTAGTCTATGGCATTTTGCTATAGCAGCCCAAGCTAACACAGCGCCTAACAGTAGAACCACAGGATCAAGCAGTAACTCTATGTTTCACCTTTTGACGAACTGCCAGACTATTTTCCAAAGCACATATACCCTTTTACAATCCCACCACCAATGAACGTAGGTTCACTTTTCCACATCCTCCTGAACACTTGTTAACTACTTTTTTTAATTACAGCCATCTACTGGGTGTGAAGGGCTACCTCGCTGTGATTTTTATTTGCATTTCCATAAAGGCTGATGAAGTCGGGTGTCCTTTCATATTTTTATTGTTCACCTGTATATTTTCTCAGAAGAAATGTCTATTCACATTCTTTGTCCATTTTTTAATTTGGTTATGTCCTTTTATTAGTGAGTTGTAAAAGTTCTTTATACATTCTAGATACAAATCCCTTACCAGAGATAGAATGTGAAAAAATCCCATTCAAATATCCCATTTTGGCTTGGCACCTGTGGCTCAAGTGGCTAAGGCGCCAGCCACATACACCTAAGATGGTGGGT